AGGGCAAGCTGCCCTGGGGACCCAATCCCCAGTTTCCTCGTCTGAAAAATGTGGCTAAGTGCCATGCTCTCCCTCCTGGGGTGGGTGTGAGGGTTAACAGACATCACTCTCAGCTGCCCAGCCTTGCACTTGAAGCCTCCTCTGGTTTCTGTGTCCTTTTCTTTGCGCAGTGAATGCCCCACACTTCACACGGTGCTGATCTTGGGACCAGGCTCCATGGGGGCAGCATGTGTCTGTGTCTGCTCTAGCCTGTGTCTAGAATGGCGCTCGGCGTAGGGCAGGTGCTGGGCATGTGTGGACCAGAAGGCAGGGGAGGAAGGAACTAAGGACTGTGTCTGGCCATTTGGCCTTTGGCCCTTGGTTTTCATTAGCTGCTATTTTCATCATCGATGCTGTTGTCACCCTCACTGTCCTCTCCACCACCTGTGTTGGGGTTCGGGGTAGGGGGAGGAGGAAGGTCAGGCCCTTGCTTTGAGCACAAACTATAAGGCGGTGCCAAAAATAGAAATTGAGAAAATAATGTTTTGAAACAGTTTAAAAAGAAAATCAAAATCGATGCAAAAACACCCGGATAAGCAAAGGCAGGATCTGGAGCAGGGCCTGGCTGCTTTGGGGCCTGATGTTACAAGAAAAATCGGGACCACTTGAGGCTGAATTTATTTAAAAGTTTGACACTTTGCTCATCCTGGATTTTTTTTTTTTTTTTTTGAGATAGTGCTACCCCAGGCTAGAGTGCCATGGCATCAGCCTAGCTCATAGCAACCTTAAACCATTGGGTTCAAGTGACCCCCACCCCACCCCCAGCATCCCAAATAGCTGGGACTACAGGTGTTTGTGACTACACTTGGCTAATTGTTCTATTATTTATAGAGATGGGTGTCTTGCTTTTGTTCAGGCTGGTCTCTGAACTCCTGGCCTCAAGAGATCCTCTCCCCTTTGGCCCCCCAGAGAGCTAGGATTACAGCCGTGAGCCACCGTGCCCAGCCCTGGATTATTTTTATTTTGTGACTTTTGATTTTTGCAAACGCTGCATGAGCCGATTGCATGTCCTGATTATGGAAGCACTCTGGGGCCCCCTAAATTTTGTGCCTGAGATGTTCCTCACCTTTCTCACCCTGTCTTCCAGGGCCCTAGAGCCTCGGAGCACCTGCCTGCAGGGATGGGGGGGGTGAAGAGGAAAGGGCGTCAGGTCTGACTGCAGGGCCTGGGGCTGGTCCTGGGGAGCAGCAGCTCTGAGGGGGTGAGACCAGCTGGGACCTGCCGAGAGCTGGAGGGAGAGAGAGAAAGTGAGAGCAGGAGCAAGCACGTGGGTGTGGGCGTGTGCACATGTAT